GAAGAGTTCAGCAGCGGGGACGCGAGGAACCGCGACAATGGTGAACCAGGACCGGGTAGCACGCACGGTCGTGATCCGCGTTCTCCAAAGGAGAAAGAAGATAAAGAAAGAGGTGACGAAGGTATTTCAATATGTTTCATGTGACTCGTCCTCCATGATCGATTTGTTACCGATTTCTTTTATTTCCACAGAGATGATTAAGGTATACGACGGCAACAATTCCCTCAGACGACGGATATTTCGCGTGATCACGGTGCCCAGGCAAGCCACCACCGAACAGGTCCTGACGTCAGCGCTTCGTGCATTTCACATTACGAAAGATCCTAGTACGTATGATCCCTGGTTGAAACGTTGGCTTGCAAAACAACGTATCGATAACGTGTATAGGGGTCTTTGTTCCAAAGGTGTGTTGCAACCTGGAATGTATGAGAATACGCGTACACGAGAGGTGCTGCAAGATTGCGTTACAATTCTCTCGTGTTACTAATGGGAGATAATTAACAGAGGGTGAACACGAAGTTTGAATTAATTTTGTGTCCGTCGACTCTCTCTTTTTCTTTGCTGTAATTGAGCCTGTTAATTAAAAGCATCCTTTTAACTTTATTTCAAGTTTACTTCTTCATTGTGAAGGTAAAAAGTTTATTTGTGAGAGAGAAAGAAAAATTAGTGGTCATGAACACTAGGAGGTTTATGTTAATTTTCAGTTGAATGTAAGGCACTCTGTGTACTTTATGATTTATTGGTGTTTTATTATTGTAATAGGTTTCTTAAACAATATATGTATATAAATTGAGTAATTGACAGCTAACACTGAGAGTTGTTTAAGGAATTTATGTTTTCAGAAACAAATTTTCATGCACATACGTACGTCAATAGCATTTACGTGAACTCAATCTGTCAGATGTATCTATACGCCCACAGTAGCAACACAGTTGACCATTATATTTTACACCCACGTAAAGATCAAACTGACAACTGCAAACAGAATAGTTTTGTATCATTGAAATTGTTCTTCTGTTATACATTTTTCGCAAAATATTTCTGTCTTTATGCAAACTCGATTAAAAACGAAACACTATTAATTTTAACTTGTGGGTAGATAAAAAAATATACATAGTCCCTTTTAAATGTAACATAATGAATATCTCTTAGAGAAATTTTCTTAAGATTCTGATTTCCATCAATGGAGAAATTATTTTTCTTTCATCTGTATACTAATTACAATTATATTCTATTTCCATGCTTTAAACAATTAGAATTGTATTCGTTAAAATCAAAATGGAAGGAAGCTAAGAATTCTTGTATTTTTCTGATCCAGGCAACTTTTACCTCACCGACCTGTATGCCACGGATGAGACTGAGTTATGCGATCCAAATCCGGTTCTAAACTTGAATCGCAAAGAAGGCAAACGTCCGGCTGTCTTCTTACGTTTCAAGTAAGTTTCAATTCCAAAAACTATGTATCATGTCATTGGATAAATCAATCAATGAAGAAGTTTGCACAAGATGGAAATTTGATTTCTCAATTACAGGGATAGTGAAAGCGGAGAAGTACATGTCTATCCAGGCAAACTACAGGTGTCAGAGTCATTCTGCACAGTACCTGTCACAGAAGCAACAACGGTTGCGGACATAATCGAAGAAGCGCTTCAAAAGTTCGGTTTGCAAAATTTTAAATCGGAAGACTACAGATGCAGCGAAGTCCTTCTGGATCGCGATGGTAACTTTTAATTTAATTCACACTTTGCAATTCATCGATATTAATTAATTCCTGGGGTAAATAGACGTTCAGTGTGCTTTTAAGATTATAGTTAATTATATCATTTAATAATTATAGCAATATTCTTAATATGAACGTAAATTGGGTTTGCCTAGTTACTGAAAGAGTTTTGTCTCGTGACGAGAAACCATGGGACATCGTGAAGCAGCTGGGCAAAGATTCCATCAGACAAATGGAATTGATGCGATTCTACCTGCAGCTGAAGCAAGATCCCCATGGCCCTAATTTAGCTTTGTTCGTGGGCAACCTGCCACCAAATCTCTCCGAAAGGAGCTACGAAAATATGTTGACCGAATTCTTAGGCAAAGGTGATCAGTATGAATAATCAATGGAAAGATATTTTATAATAATTAATTTTTTACTTAACGATCACTTGTGTATAATATTTTTAGAAAACAAATTTTCCTCCATTGGTCCGATATATTACGAATACGGCTCGATGGTAATCACCTACGAGGATTCAAATAAGGCAGTAACGGCGTTGTATACGTTGAGAGAATCAAAATACGAAGATAAACATCTTTTAGGTACTTTTGCGCGATCATCTTGATTGCTTTGATAAATAATAATTTTGTACAAAATGTATTGATCTATAATATATTTTATCTATAATCATTTCGATGTATTTGTCATTCCAGTTATGCTGTTACCAAATATCGAGCCAAGTATGGTGCCCTCAGGTGTACAACCTTTACTCGTCTTCGTGAACGTAAAATCTGGCGGTTGTCAGGGTCTTCAATTGATCTCCAGCTTCCGGAAACTTCTGAATCCGTATCAGGTGTTCGATCTTGACAATGGAGGTCCACTTCCTGGGTAGGTATTCAAAGAATCATATATCTCTAGAAATATTTAATAGTAAAAAATTTTAAATTTAGTTTTAAAATAGTGTATAACCATAATAAATAATGACTATCAATTGCATTGCAGTCTTTACGTGTTCCGTCATATAAAGGATTACAAAATCTTGGTTTGCGGTGGTGATGGGACAATAGGATGGGTACTGCAGTGTTTGGATAACGTAGGGCAAGACAGTGAATGTTCTTCACCTGCTTGTGCCATCGTTCCTCTAGGAACAGGAAATGATTTAGCTCGCGTTCTATGCTGGGGTCCCGGTTACACCGGTGGCGAAGATCCCTTGAATTTACTTCGGGACGTGATCGATGCAGAGGAATCTCTGTTGGATAGATGGACTGTGGTATTTCATCCGGAAGACAAAGAAGATAAGCAATTGGCCACTAATACAGGAGGTGGGTTAAATTTAATTTATTTCTTGTTAAAATAAGCAAATGTTATGTAATTATGTTTAATAAAAATGAAGTAACAGAGAAGTCAAATTAAAATGCGAAACACAGAAATAGCATGTGGCAAATGTCGTAGGAGCAGGCGCCACAAACGAAGACAATACGCAAATATTTGTGATGAACAACTACTTTGGGATTGGTCTTGATGCCGATCTGTGTTTGGACTTCCACAATGCCAGGGAAGAGAATCCGAACAAATTTAAGAGCAGATTGCACAACAAGGGAGTATATGTTTCGATGAGCATACGAAAAATGGTCAAAAGAAAACTCTGCAAAGATTTGCATAAAGAAATTCGACTAGAAGTGGATGGAAAGCTCGTTGAGTTACCGCAAGTCGAAGGAATAATTATTCTAAACATTTTAAGGTAATTTGTTGTTAATAGTTATTGAAGTAGAAATTTATTATACTTCTTTTTTGGCTAATCTTTTTTTCGAACAATGTAGTTGGGGTTCTGGGGCAAATCCCTGGGGTCCAGACAGCAAAGAAGATCAATTTTGTACACCAAACCATGGGGATGGAATGTTAGAAGTGGTCGGAGTCACAGGCATAATGCATCTCGGACAAATTCAATCTGGTCTTCGTACAGCAATGAGGATAGCGCAGGTGAGTTTCAATTTTGTTAGATTCAGATTTTATTCTTGACTGTAAAATATTATTTGTAACATAGAGTACCTTGTTTTGAATATTTAATCCTGAATTCAATTAAAATGAAGATTAAAAATGAGGATTGCAAGTGCAAGTGTTTTAAAATTTTTATATTTTACTCGATACTTTTATGAAGGATAGATCTTTCACTAAAAATTGATATTTTCTGGTTGTTATTTAAAAATACCAATTTTTCTTTCTTGAGGAAATTATTATAATATATAGATAATATATTAATATATATAATTAATATAAATAATATATATTAATATATACAGATAAGTAGTACCAAAGGAAGTAGCAACTAATTTCTGTTTTATTATCATATAATACAACAAATGATTTTTAAATATTCCATAGGGAGGACATATAAAAATCCATTTGCACTCTGATATACCAGTACAAGTGGACGGGGAACCATGGGTCCAGAGTCCAGGAGATATCGTAGTTTTGAAGTCAGCGGTAAAGGTAATCTTGGCAGACACTCCTAATGATCCCATAATTCTATCGAAATACACAGCAGAGTGGATTTTAATTCTTTTAAATAACTTTTTCATGAATAAGTTTTCGTAAGAAAATTGATAATAATTAACTAAAATTTTTAATGTGTATTCCTAAAAATTTGGCCAAATTTTTTAAGTATATTTTTCAAAGTGCATATTTTATATTATCAAAAATTAGAATAATCTATTTTTCACGATTTGACATTCAACGACGCCCACGTGGGTGATACCAAGCGTAACCTTTTCAGAAAAGAGTATAAAACCATGAATTATTAATTTTCTCTCCAAACACACAATCCATAACATTTTCCAAAAGTTCAAATCTAACTCATAAGCCCTATGCTAATGTTATAGAATTAACTGTTGCTGACATTTCAAATGTGCACGTACAATTTAATAGTATTAGATTACGTTTTACCGCTCTGTTAAATTTCACATAGAACGATGGATCTATCTACTTTTTTGTCGCACGTTGACTCTCTGCAGGATCTTGCATCTTTACTTGCACTATCTGCTAGATCTAACTTGCAATGACGCTCTACGCAGACACCATAAGAGCGTGATCCAACCGCTGGTGTCCGGCAGCGCATGCATTCCTCCCCTAATCGCACTCTAAACTAATGTCTCCTTGTTCCTTTGTTCGCTCCAGGCTACCATGTTGAAGAAAAATAAGATCAAGCGTCGGAATACCGAACCGTCGATTCCACCCGCTAATGGGGTGGGGGGCAAGAGCACGGACGAGTGTAGCAACAAAAGCTAGAGCGCAGTTTCTGCGGTCTAAATCGATCCATTAAACTCGAATTTTCAATTAGTGTTCCGCCTAGGCTCCTCCCGTATTGTGCGTGGTTCTGCAACTATACAGGGGAGTTTCGGTGCGATCATTACGAGAAAACACGTACACACGTACATGTACTTCCTGTGTAGTAAAATTCCATTCGATGTTTCCGCCGCATGTAGCTCTCTGTGCCAATATTGTCGATGTATCTGGATGGTCGATAAATTTTTGGACACTCTGATACCATTCTGGTTTCAAAGAAGAAGTTCAGGAATTGCTTTCTGAGCAATTCAATGAAATTTTCAATTATTTTTTTTTTAGAATGTATCAGAAAAGTTTTCAGACCTTAACATCTTGAATTTTAATATGTCGAATATCCATATTGTTTTATTTATTCTCTTGCTTCTATGATTTTAACGACAACTTGATGACCATGTAAATTTTGTGTTATAAATTTAAAAGTAACGATTTTGTGTTACCAGACTTCAAATTTGTCCAAAAAGTTATCAATTACGCTCACACCTAAATGCTCAGCGCAATTCAAGCTTGTCGTAAAACAGTGTTGTGAAAAATTAAAGGTTCAACAAAATTTTAGCAATATTTTACAAATATTGTACAATAAGCAATGACAATCATTCAGTATTTTCAAACAAAATGGAAAAAAAAAATATATTCTAATAATTTTATAAAACCTGTACATTTTCACAACACTATGACTAATTTTTATTATTGTGCCTATTTTCTTAAACGATGTTTTTCAGCTTCAAGAATTAACCCTCGAAGGATCTTACATATTTTTTAATATATAAAAAGATAACTTAAATATTTATAAGAAATATCAATTTATTTTATAATTTAATAGTCATACAATTTTCGTTCGAAATTTGCATTCTATTCAAAAACATATTATTTTGCTTAATAAAATTTTGTTGTATTTTCTATTATTATAAAATTATGGTTCGATTACAAGAGACACATATGTTTTTCAGTTTTCTTTCTCTGAAAAGTTCTATAAGATAATCAATAACCAGGATACTATTACATTATTAACTTACTAATTGCCAACTTTCTTTCTTGTACAATTCTGCATTTATATAATTATATAAATATTAACTGCTTTTCTATGAATTTAATCAAACTAAATTTTTATTTTGTTTTATTCTTATTCATTAAATCCTTTTATTATGCAATTAATTAAGAAATAATGGAAACTAATGAGATAACATATGAAACTAATTGGTTTGACAAATTAAACAAAAAGAGAGAAAAGCAAATATTCGAAACACCCTAGGTTAATATCGATCCTTCGAGCGTTGATCGATTCTTCGTTTCACTTTTACTTATCACACGAGCATCTCTCTCTATGTCTGTGTTGGCCCGCGAGTGTTCTGGCTGTTAACGAGCGCGAGACATGTCGTTTCACTTTGGTCACTTGGCATTGACATTATAACTGAATTTGCCCCTTTGTGCGCGCCCTTTGTCATCCTGTCCCTTCCTAGGCCACGATGCTGAAGAAGACCAAGGGTAAAATGAAACGGCGTAACACAGAGTCCAGCATGCAGCTGGCACTTCAGGCCGCGCCATCTAACGATCCGGAGCCTGAAGTCTTCTGAGTGACCGAAAGTTGTTCCCCGTGCAAGCGGAACGAGGATGTCACACCACGAGTACCACGTATTTGCACGCGTAAGCGGCACAGTTCTAGCACAACACGCAACAAACGAAATCGGCCTCGAAATTCGTCTGTCTGACCACAGTCACGTGCTGTACGAACTTATACGTAAGCACAAAAGGACACATATATACATCTATTAATACAAATACACACACACACACACACACACACGCACGCGCGCGCGCGCGCGTACGTACGTATACACGCATACACATGCATATATACAAACGTGAGTACTACAGCTGCCTTTGATCACAAACGCAAGGGAGCTCCTCCAAGAACAAAAGAAAAATAATAATGCCAGGATGAACCATGATGCACATGAAGCTGTGACTGCAAAGAAATGAAGCACGAAAAGGAATAACTAGGACAAACGCTTGTCTATGGACACTTCATTATAAACTCAAGTAATCTTTAATGTCCCTTTCCGAGTTGCTAGGATGAAAAACTAGATCTCATTTTTAAATGTTAATAATCATTATATAGCATTGTACGTAGCTTTGATCGATATTTTTTTAGTAAAACGAGAAAACAAAACAGAGGAGGATGAAGAGAAAGAGCGAGCGAGAGAGAAAGAGAGTGCGTGCGTGCATGTGAGGAAGAAGGAACGAAAGAGAGCGCGTGAGGAAGAGAGAGTGAGAAAGGAAACGAGTCAGAGAGAGTGAAAGAGAAGTTATACGCGATAAGGTAGTAAAAATCACGCGATAATGTTACCAATGAAACAGCAGTATTGAACGAAGTTTCTCCCCGTTTATTCGCTTGACAGCCATACTTGCGCATTTACGTTGTATAGTTCGTTATTTAGTCCCGGAAAGCGATCGAAGGAAGTGAATCGTAATTGTACATGATATTTCGTATGGTATTTTACTAATTCACAGTAAGTATCATGATACGAATCCCGTAATCACGAATATTTATGATTAAATATTAATATATTTACAAAAGAGTAATGTATTAGTATTACGGTTTTAAGTTGTGATAACTGTTGTACGTCTGGCTGCTGGGCAGTCTGGAATTTATAAGAGAAAAAAAAAGAAACAAATACCAGTGGCAGTCAGTCATTTCATAGAATACGAGATAATAAAGCAAAGCAAAAAAAAAAAATGCAAAAAAATGAACAAAGAGGAAAGAAGGGTGGAAACGAGAGAAGATTATCCAAAAGAGAAAGTTAAGTGTAACGCGTTTGATAGAGCTAAATTGACGGCGAAGCGTTTTGCCAACTCGTCTCAATGGAACACAGGCAACACTTGCGCTGATTAAAATTTCGCGCGAAAATTCGTCGTGACTAGAAGCGAAATCGGAGGCAATTTGGCAACGTGATTTTCCTCCCCCGGTTCTGGCAAAAGCACTGTCCGTGACAGAAGATTTTTGCCGGGGCCACTGATAGGCAACACATTCCACTGAAACGTGGTTCGAGAGCAAAAATGAACACACATGTACATTTCTAAACTATGCCAAAGGAACTTCTAACGTGCTAACACTTTCAACGCTGTTTGGACACCTCTCGATACTGAAGGACCGGTTCTGGTGGGAAGAAAATGGAGAAGAACAAAAATATAGGACAGACGAACGTCTCATAGCAACGTTGAGTTTTCCAGCAACGATTCGTATACACGAAAATGGAAGAAGTAGTTCTGAAGAGCGGCTGTTCGATCGGCTACTGAGTGTATGGACGCATCGTCGTGGTTATACGTCGTGGATCGTGTTCATATTGGACCCTTTGTTGGCATCAATTCGATTAAGAGACAATTCCGGTGCCAAACAGTTGTACATAATATTGTAAATGTAGGAGTAAAAATGAAAAAAAAAAGAAAAAAAGAAAAAACACGAAACAAAACAAACAAATCGTTATTCGAGCGTCAGAGAGAATAATGGAACCAGGTGCTGTTTGTTACATGCCGGACATTAAAGACAGAATGAACGATCGTCCCTGTTAGGAATATACTGAGGGAACGAGTTTTGGGAAAACGAAAAGAAAAGAAAATGAGAAGGAAAGAAAAAGAGAACGAAAGAAGAAGAAAAACGTGTCGCGTGCGTTTCGATCGATCGAGTGGAAATGGTAATTCGACGATGCGTTTCGCGCGCGAACCGTTGTGCAAAAGGCATACGGAAACGTGTCAAAATGGAAGTAGAAGATGTGCGCGAGGTCTTTTAATTTTGCGTTTTACGACGAAACGCTTGTAGAAATACGCTCCTGCACCTCTTAGCTACTTTGTAGATTTCTCCCGAGTGTCTTCTCAACTGAGGTATCCGATCGCGCGGAGTAAAAAAGAATTTCGCCAGAGCAAATGCAAAATTTCTCCCTTCACTGGGAGGCCAATCGTTTCCGGATGATCGACTAGGCCTCTCACTTAAGAGAACTGAATCGCGACAACCTGCCAATGATACATGGGCTCAGTCGTTCGTGCTCGACATCCGGTGTATGAGCACGAGCAACGTATCGGCGGCAGATTGGTATCGCGAATTCGTTCGTTAATCTGACCAAAAAAAAGCTCTAGTGTATTCGCTGTTGCTATAAACCAAAAAAAGAGGATAGAGGAACCACATTAAGCTATGAACAATCTACGTATAATGAATGTATGTGCTATGGAAAACAAAAAAAAAAAACGCTAGCTGTTACGACTGAATTCGTTTCCTATCCTTTCGACACACGTGTACACACGTTACATACACGACACGTAAGAGATACACACGATAAAACACCAAACACAAAAGCATTCACACGCAGATACAATACGAGTTCGATCTATTTTTTCTTTTTTGTCACCTGCGAACTCGACGCGAATCAAGAAAACGATTAACACATATACATGTGAGATATAACACAACCTTCCTTGGTTTTCACGTTTGCATTGTAATTTGTAGGTTATGTAGACTTCCCGAAAAACGCGGTTCCGTAATTATTTTCTATCGATTAGAACGAAAGAGCGAAAACGTATTGGAATTACACGGGATCGGATGTGACACGTTTTTATGGAATGATTTCTTCATTACAAGGTATACGTTCCGTTTCTTTTTCCCATGTTCCAAGATCGTAAACACGCTGTATTATCGTTGTAAACCGAAAGGACACTTAATGTGTGACCGAATAGAGAGATTCGTTGTATAATTCATTGTCGGTGTATCACGCGTACACTAGTGTGATACTGAACGAATTGTTGCCGAATTAAGAGCTTTCGTTTTCTCCTGATTGTATTGTTTCAGACGTGCGCGAGTAAGAGTGGAATATTACATAAATTAATGTACACATTACCTGTGGACTTTTGATGCTTTTACAAACTCCATTTCACTGTTATCCGTTTTCTGTGCGACGATTTATTGTACGTGAACATACCTGCCCCTCCGATCCTTCGCTCCATTTCTACGATTGGTTATATCGTGTATTTTAACAGTGTATAAGGTGCGGTATAATTTCTAGTAACAGTAAAAAGGTAATTTCTCATTTGAAAGAGATCGAAAGTATGGAATGTGTTTTAAATTTATAAGAAGTAGACGTGAATATACATAAAAAATTAGAAGCTATTGTTTTGAACCAGTTATATTAAACTTATGCACGCTCCTGTCAACGCTCTACAGGGGCATTGCACACCCTGACCACAGTTATGAATAAAAATAGAGGTTAGGTAATGGACATAATTTTCTTCAGATAACTACTTCAAACAACTTGTGGCATAAGTACT